GTGACATTAATGTTGTTACGTAATTTAATTCCCATGTTTTAAAAAAACTATCAACTTTTGTGTTATATTTTTTAACTTTTAGGAAATCTTGCGGAAGTGTTGTTAAAGTGTGTTTTTATTATCTTCCAGAAGAGTCCGGCGAGCTCATCAAGTCGCCGTCTCCGCCGCCCAGCCACGGTGCGTATGACACATTATTTTTATAAATTTCTACACTCATCAGAATGATTGCTAAAAAGCGGATTGCTACCGTGTACCTTATATTTTACGAGTTCCCGACATTTCGGCGCTGTAGCGAGCGCCATGACCGCGGGCTACTCCGCGGCGGCACACGGCACCAATCATTCTGATATTAATCACCATGAAAGTTTAAAACAACAAGTTCTATACTTACTCAGAAGCGTAGACAAATTAAAAATGAAACGGATGCCTACTCTGTTTTCGTCTATTTTCAAAACGCTTCTATGACACCAAAAAAATCTTCATCTTCTCTTGTGTAAATGGACATAAATTAGTCAATAATTAATGAATATTTATTGCTGACATACAAGTATGTAGTACATATTGAATCTACATATTGAATGTAAACCTTTGATATTGATCGATATATTGAGAAAAGATTGTAATCATGACTTTCTCGACTCAGCTTATTTGTAGATTATCGTTTGAAATTTGAAGCTCTGTTCTAAAATTAATTAGATATGTCCTTAATACCTAATTTTTTATATCCTAACGCAGGCTTTTAATCAAGTTTCGTGTATATCCTGTAAAGTTGTAATTTGTTTGTTTTCTCCGATGAATCGAATCATTAATATTATTGTAAGTTAAATAATTTGAAACCAACCTCGATCACATTTATGCCCTTATCTAATTCAAAAAAAAAAGTTATAATAGTAAAGTCTTACAAACCCTTATATGAAAGTGAACCCTTTGCAATCACTTAAATGCATTACACTACCACCACATTGAGAAAGTAAAAAATAAATAGTTTTATTCGAGGCGTAGATCAATAACAAAAGAGTTGAGTTTCGCTATAGTCGCGGGCAGGCAGCCAGGTATATAGTCTCCTCGTGCGTCGTGTGTCGTGTGCGCGGGGAGGTGCGCGCGCGCCGACGCACGCGACAACTCTTTCTTCGCGACCCCCTCACAAACTAACCTGTAATCTTTTCAACCCGTTCGTCTCCTGCTACTAACTTATACGATACCATTTATTTCGTGTGCAAGCGCCGACCCCTTTTATCTGTCAAGACGTCAATAGCACGTGCCTTGTGTGATAAATATTCGTTAACTTCAATTTAGACTAAACTTTATGAATTACATAGATCTGACTTACTATCCGAATATCGATAGGTTATTTTAAAATATATAATGAAACCAGCTTTTAACGTTAGAAATTGTGAACTGATCAGCAATATATATTACTTGCATCAATGTTTTATTTCGTTTATAAACCACTGGCAATTCTTAAATATATAATGTTGTAAATGGTGAATAAATATTTTTTGTTTGTTGTTTATTTCGATTATTTATTGTAGAACTCCAAAGTTACTATTTTATGATTTTGCGCTTTGAATTCTTGACTAAAGGAACATACAAAAAACATCTAGGTATACAGAAAGAACTCTGAACTTACCTACTAAAATTTGTGATTAACTATAGATAAAATTTCGAAATTAAAGTTAAAGTCGCGACACTTTCTTTCAATTCCTATTCAACTCACCTCCTATTCAAGAAATCACCTATCCATTTGCTGGACTATTTTAATTCCAAGCATTCTTATCTGTTATATAATCGGATACCCTATAATAAGCTTTTATTATAAGTATTTTTTAATAGTAGATTTAAACTGCTTGATCTCTAATTGTTGTATTTTGCTTGCGACCTTATTGTAGAAGCGCACAGGGAGACCCCTGATTATCATGAGAACCTCTGTTCATCCCAGTTGTATTGAACTACCAATAATGTTATATTAAATACGATAATTGTTAGTAATTCCAACTTCCGTGTGTACCAACTTTGAAGATAATTTTAAAACTGTTAATTAATTCTCTATTTCAACCTGTAATGAAGTGTTGTGAAGTAGGCACAATTATGTATATTGTAACTTAAAATTATGAATAAAATTTTTGAAAATGCTAAAATCAAAACCTTTTAATTCTTAAATTAACTTAACAGATATTTTTAAAACCAGGTAAAAGCTATAGTTACCATTTTGTCTTAAACAAAAAGCTAAATATCCATTTACATGATTCTGAATTGAGCGCTTTAAAATTGTTTAACACCTATTTCGAAGCTCACCTACAAAACGTAATGCGAAAATTATCAAATATCAGACAAAGTTAATGTTGTATATATAGACCATAAGGCAGACGAATATTATAGAATATAACATTATATGATTATAATAATAATAATATTCATTTAGTCAAAAACTAATTTTTAAAAATTCTCAACTTCTAATGCTTTCGTTATATATTATTCGCAGACATGTCAGCGGAGGGTAATAGACAGTTTACTTAGTAAAGTCGATGAGCGGTGGACGCACGGACGGACGGACGGACGGTCGCGCGCATTTGCATTCAATTTCCGGCGGTTGTACAGTTTACCCAAACAAAACCTAACACACCGTATTAAACCGAATTTGCAGTGCGCCTCCTAGAATTACAATGAGTCTGTAATATTTACATTTTTATAGGAGGGTTGAAAGGTTACATTCTTAAAAGAAAATATCATGAATCATCTTTATTTATTACTAGCTGTTTACCCGCCACTTCGCACACGTAAATTACATACTATGTCAAACCCGTATGGTGTAACTACCCGTAGGTTAAAGAATTTTTTAAATCGGTCCAGTAGTTTGAGCCTATTCGATGCAAATTCTTTATAATATTACTTTTTAGTCAACAACCGACACCGATTGAAACGATGGTGTTCTTAATTATCCGTCAAATTATGTGGTATCCTGCACTATGAGCTATTCTATAACGAAGCTTCCTGGCCGATAAACGTTCATATAAGACTTTTGTACTGGACTCATGCCGATCTTGTCCGGATCTGTTGATACTCTACTACCGGCTTATATCATTATCCGCACAATACTCGCACACGTTATCTTTAGTAGTCGCACTAGAAGGACATCCCTCTCAATGAATTTACTTCAAAAGAAACTGAGTTCACTCACTCAAGAGGAAGCAAAGCCAAAAAGGTGTCGATGTTTATCATTGCGCTCGGAAATATAGGGAATACAAAGACTAGAGAACTGTTACAGAGTTAAATACAGAGAATAGAGAACTGCTCTTCAAAAACGGTTTTTATTAATTACTCGCAAACTATATTTGTAACAGTTATCGTTATTATAAGAAAGCCCTCGGCTGGATAGAACATATATCTTTATTAATTACTTTAAAAAAACCTTGTTATTCAGTAATGCTGCTGCAAAAGTCGCGATAAATAATTGAGAGAAAATTTTGTATTGTTGAATCCGATTCGATGCACGACAGACACTTTTAAGTTACTGCCAATTTGTAAAAAAAAAACACAACATTATAAAATCTACAAACACCCAAGTAGTATCTGATTCAAAATCAAAATTTTCCACCGACTCTATTTTGCTGGCTTATTCTAGAAATTATGAATCGTTGTATTATTTTTTCTTACTTAAATAATATTATTTAAAGCAAAACCTTTTATATATTGGCGGTCGGATCAGTGGATTTGGAAAGCGCTAGATTTGATATAACCCTTTTAATGTAGCTGTGTGTGACGAACACCGTTGGAAAAATATAGGTGACTATAAAGTTTCATTGTATAGTCACCCATATTTTTATTAAACAACTTACGAAAAGGAGAACTTTTTTTGGATGGAAGCTGGTACTTTATTCAAATTATCTCTAACCAAGCATAAAGTATATATTAATCGATAGAGGGTAAATAAACCTTACTCATCATCGGCGCCACCAAAATGTTTATTTTCTGATTTGAACATCATTTGGTGGATGTTTTATAATTTATGTAGCAACACATAAGTGCATTAAGAAAATCTATGGCAACCCCATCCCTAAGTTACGTTCCAATTCATGCTGTGAATCAATCTATTTGAACAATGTATTATTTTGATTTGCTATTAATTATTGTTATTTCAGATCTCTAAATGTCAAATGCAGAGATATTTTAAATGAATCGAAGCTCGTCAACGCAGATTAGACCGGTTTGAGTCTATTCACTGCGTGGCTTTATATATATTATAATAAACACAGTAAACAAATTATGAATTCGGTTTTCACAATATTGATATATGATTTCACTACTAAGGACGCTAAGTTATTATAAGGTGCTATCAACAACAACAAGCTTTTATTAGATAAAAAAAATATTTTAACTATAACAAACATATTGCTTTTTATTTAATTTATTATCGGAATTTCCCCACTTTCGTAATTACCCCAAAGTACCGAAGACGAGGCTGTGGACAAAGATTTGCGTTTGTTTTAATTTTCTGCACTTTATTTTTTAATGAGTTTATGGCTGTGCATACTAGTGTTTTTAAGCAAACCATACCATTTTTTTAAACTTAATTCTCTAAAACGGGGAACTTTCAGGCCTAAAACTTTGGTGAAAGATAAAGGATTGAATCTAGATGCTATAATAATTTTCTTTATAGTGGTTAGATTTCTTGAGAATAAAGTACCAAAAAAACGTTCTCCTTTATATTAGTTTGAAAGCGTTTCGCGTCGCGTTCCTTCATTAAAAAATCAATGCGAATCGGGCCTAAGATGTTGTATATTGAAGATGAATTTGCATTACGAAACTAATTGCATGAATTAGTTTCATGTGAACGTTCACTGCCACAATGTTCACACGACACTGTGCCATGCGCATATTTTTGATGAAACTAGTATCACACAACTAATGTCATCATCACGATGTTGACGGAGCCAGTGTTTCATGAAACTAATTTCACAAGCGGTGAAATTACTTTCGTGAAACTTGTTCTATCCTACATGACACTAATTTCGTAATGTAAGTTTAGCTTATAAGTATGAGTTTCCTCGTATAGAGCCCAAAATTCATTTATCCTATATATTCCTATGATAAATTAAATAAATGGTAATAAATTTTAATTAATAAAAACGTAATAATTTTCATAAGATTATGTATTGTGATCGTCAGATGGTTCGGCGAGCGGTGAGGGTGAGGGGGAGATCAGTGGCGACGAACGCCCTCCGTCCCCGCCCCGCGCGCCCTCCGCCCCTCTCCCGCTGCCGCACGCACCGCACGCAGCGCACGCTGCCGCCGCCACCGCTGCAGTTTTCGTAAGCATAATTACATTTCAGAGTAATTGATCGTGCTTAACAGCACAATTAAACATATTCTTCATATCAGAAAATAATTATATTACAATATTAAATATAGAAAAGTAAAATTGTAACATTAGCTGTGTCTTATGAAGAAGGTTACAAAATGTTCCTGAAATAATTACGAAGAGATTTTATGTCATAGACATTACTATAATTAGTTTATCTAAGTACAATCAACAGCACACCAGACTCCACTTGATTTTAAACCTCGATACTTTGAGAGTAAAGTTCGATATTAATTGAGGACATTTGACTTATTGTGGTAGCCTAACGTGCTGCCGCGTATAAGTGCACGAACAAAATAGATTGTTTGTCGTTGTTTGTTTTGGGATTATATTTATTTCATTTAATGTTTTAATTTTCCTGATGGATAATGTGAGGGTATGGTTACAGGGCGCGGCCGGTGCTGGCAATGCGCTGGCTCAACTCCAACACTTGCTGCTCACACAACATGGCGCGCACTCCCTACTACTGCACACTCAGGTAAACGAAACAATACTTATCTATCTATACTTGCATATTAATGATTTATAAGCGGAAACATTTGATTGTTTGTCTGTTTACATCGAATAGGATCCGAAACTCTTTCAGCTCACTATGACGACTTCTTACAACAAATTAATAAAACGCGAATGTGACCGCATCAATAAGTATAATTATGTAACATGTTATGTGAAACATACATATGTGCGAAACAATAAGGTTATTTATTTTACAAAATATATGTAAAAGAAAATTCACGAACGGCGAATTGATGTTTTCCGTGTCCTTGACATCAGGTGCAGCAGGCAGTGGCGCAGGCGGCGGCGCAACAGCTGCAGCAGCTCCAGGCGCGCGCCAGCGCCACCGCCGCGCCGCCACCCACAGGTACAGGTGACACACGCACGCGCACATACATTTCGCACGTACTGTACTTATCATCAGATCGATTTGCTGTTAAAGGAATGACTACTAAAGTGATTTGTCTCATATACATATTTCGTTATAATTTACTCCTTTTATTAAACTACAAATAATTATTTACTATGCTGAGAGATAATAATAGCTCTAGTGTAAGGAAAAATTTCCAAATCATATTTTGTTTATTGAAGATGGGCGGTCGCCTTCCCCGCGCCGTACGCCGCCGGGGGCGGGCGCGTTCCTGACGCCGCACACGCCCGGCTCCGGACGCGCCCGCTCCCCCCACCACCCGCATCCTCCCCTCCACGCGCACACGCCTCTACATGCGCACGCGCACAAGCCGCGCGCGCTCGAGCCCGCCGCTGACGACACCGCGGATCTCGAGGAGCTCGAGCACTTCGCGAAGACGTTCAAGCAACGTCGCATCAAGCTCGGTGAGTGCCGTTGTCTCATGTGACGCACATCCTCCGACCGAATCGCTTTTAACCGTCTCGTCTTCTCTTGCAGGTTTCACGCAGGGCGACGTCGGCCTCGCGATGGGCAAACTATACGGGAACGACTTCTCGCAGACGACGATATCCCGGTTCGAGGCGCTCAATCTGAGCTTCAAGAACATGTGCAAGCTGAAGCCGCTCCTGCAGAAGTGGCTCGAGGACGCGGACTCGTCGCTGGCGGGCGGCGGAGGCGCGGGGGGCGCGGGCGGCGCGGGGCTCGGCGCGGGGCTCGCGGAGGCGGTCGGCCGCCGCCGCAAAAAGCGCACCTCGATCGAGTCCGGCGTCCGCGTCGCCCTCGAGAAGGCGTTCGTGCACAACCCGAAGCCGACCAGCGAGGAGATCGCCGCCCTCGCCGACGCGCTATGCATGGAGAAGGAGGTCGTGCGCGTCTGGTTCTGCAACCGACGGCAAAAGGTGAGAGCCCGCGCCGCCCGCGTTTCGACCGCCGCCTACCGCCCGCCGCTAACCTGTTGGTTTCGCTCGTCGCAGGAGAAGCGCATCAACCCGCCCGCGGGGGAGTCGGGGGGTGTGGTGCTGCCGCCGCTATCCGCGCACGCGCTGCCGGCGCACGCGCACGCGCACGCGCACGGAGGCCACGCGGGCCCGCTGGGGCCACACTCCACGCACGCGCACGCGCACGCGCTGCACGCCGCCGCGCTGCAGCCGCTGGCGCTGCTCGCGCGCCCGCCCCCGCGCGACTGACGCGCGCGCCCACATATCGACCTGTAAATAGCCGACGTATCGCAATAACAGTGTACAGACTAGTTCGTTAGTGTATATAGGTGTATATGCGGGGGGTCCCGCTGGCCCCCGTGTCTGTAAATTAGCGTGTAAGTTTATATTAATACGTGAATTTTATTTATATCCGTTCGTCGACGGACGCGCCCCGCGCTCGGGCCCCGGGGAGCTCGCCCGCGGGCCGTCTCGTCCGCGCCGCCTCGCGCCGCTCCACGCCGACTCGTGTCCGCCTCCGGTGGCCGGTGGCCGGCCGCCGGCTGCCGGCCGCCGGACGCCGGACGCCTGACATCGGACACCGGACGCCGCCGGTGATCCGTAGGTCCCGTGGAACAACGCGAGCGCGTCCGCGGTGTACAGAGCTCATATCAGTTAGCGCATGAAGCGTATGTGAGGTGGATGTGTAGAAAACTATCTATATGTTAAAAAAATAAAACACGATAGAGACTATATAATCGGTTTTGTGTTTCATTTCTTCTTCCCCTAAATCCATAAAGAAATGGTTTTACCATTTTTTAAATTACCTCGCCCGTCATATGATGTCGAATAGTACAGCACGACAGGTCTTAGAAGACTTAATTCAGGGTAGAATTGAAAATCGACTGCGAAATAGTTTCAAAATTAAAAAAACACGAAATTTTCCAAAATCGAACAAGTTGTATTATGGCTTAACTAAATAAAATTCTCATTACATGCAGGAGACCGTTTAAAAAAGCTTATTATAAGGTATCCGATTGTATAACAGATAAGAATGCGATGATCCAGCAACTGGATAGGTGATCATTTCTAAACTCATCATATATCAAAAATTATCTCATTTCCATTATTATTAAATGATACTGTTATCATTATAAGACAATCGTTTTTTTGTCTCTCCATTAATAATGTATTTATCTGGTAATGACATGTCTTTTTTTGTGAATTTCATTACTCCTATTGCGTTTCTTGCTCGTTCTTCTTATCAGCCAAAAGACTTCCTGAACGAGTGGTAGAGAAAAAAATGTTGGACGATTAAAAAGTACTTTTAAGAAGTCTATTTGAATAAAGATTATTTTGTCTCTGACTTTTATTCTATGGAATATTTGTAATCTAAAAGCTTTTTAGTTCGGTTTGGGCAGTTGTGTTTTTTAATTTTTTAATTATTGTAACAAAATTTCTAGATTCAACCACACCACACATCATCACCGCGTCTCGAACATAATGGCCCTTTAAAATTAGCAACTACTTTACGGCAGGCCTAGTCAAATCAGCTATTTTTATTAAGCCAATACAACATCTGTTTCCAGACAAGTGACATTACTTATTTTTTGATAAATAAGCCGACTTATTTAATAACACTTTCGGTAAATAGTTCTGTTCTGTACAATGTTTTAAAGTTACATGGTCATTAATTAATTAATTTCGGCACTGTTACAAACGCCATGATATAATATCGGGAACTCCATAAAAACAAGGTATTATAATATTTCAATTATTGCACGTCACATACTATAAAGTTGTTCATAGTTAGTAAAGTTGGTGTGACACCCAGATGCAACAAATTCAAATTTTATTTATTTGAAATAATTTAAATGTTTTTTCAATGCAGTTGCTCATAAAGCGCTATTTTTTTAATCCATTGTAAACACCGAAAGTGAGTCTTTAAACACGTGTTAAATAAAAATGTACTGAAATCCTTTACTGCATACGTGCTTATAAGTATTTTTTTATATTTTTTGGCCGAGCACCAACGAAATGTAAAAAGAAATTTATGAAAATATGTCAAACTTTAGAGGCAAAAGTATTTCAAGGAGCCTAGAACGAATATTTTCAAATAAAAATGTATGACACGAAAACATGTTCAAATATCACGTTTAATTTTAACAAATATTTTTTACCTTTAATACATACTTAGTTTTATTAACCTATATATTTGTTTTATTTCCACGCAAAAAGCATTGAAAAATGTTGTAAGAAACTTGAGCGTAAAAGATTTTTCAAATTCGTGCCAATTTGGCCCTTATTCATAAAACCTTACTTTCCGCACTCGTATCTTAAATAACTATTTCATAAAAGTTGAAATGTGAATTTGGTATTTGAATTATTTTTGTAATTTTATTGTGTTAAATAAAGTCGGATTGTGAACTATAATTGGCGTGAATTTTTAACCCGAACACGTAACAAAATTATAATAGCATTTGTCAATGAGGTATTTTTTTTAATATTCAGTTAATGGATTTAGTTGTTATATTGCTATTATTTTGTTCGGTACGTTGTTGTATATATTTTGATCGTCATCGAATGGAGACTCGTCGTGACAATTTTAATTTAGAACGTATTTATGCTTAGTGGCTTTGACAGGAGAATACAGGTTTTCATATTTTCCCACAAAGTCACAGACTTCAACGATATACAAACAAATTAATGATAATATGGAATGTTTTTATAGTGAGGTCTACAGGAATCCATTTTGTCAATATTAGTTAATATTCTAATACATTACTTTTGTTGGATAAAAACACTTTGAGCAGTAGTTAAGTTTCTCCAAGTTACGGCGTCTACGTTTTCAATAGTATATAGTATTTTATAATTGCGTTTTTTGAATATTATAAGTCTATTCTAAAATTAAGTACATTGATAGTGCAGTAAAAAGAAAAGAACATCTTATAATATTATATTTTTAAAGATATATCTTTTTACACAACAACATTATTTATTACTGTTTATTTTTGTGACTTGATTTAATTTTGTATTATATTATTCAATTATAGATATTTATTATAAATAATACATAAATTTTATGGAATATTTGTACGCTAAACTATGTATATTTTATTATTAAGAAAATATCCAAACTAGCTGGTTTTGTTGTGCGACTTTTTGGATATATTAGAACTGTTACAATTCTCCGCACCGCCGGCAGCCGTTTTCAAAATAGAAAAACCGTTGTACTCCCTTTATACAGGACTCGTTCACTCACCTCTGTACCGAATGTGTTTAGAAATTAATGTCCGTTATAAATAAATTTGAGGTTTTTGTGGTTCTATGGTTCTGTGGTGTCAGCTAAACAATACCTAACAGATGACAAGATTTATTAGTTGTTGCATCCGTACCGGCTAGTCCGTAAGACATACAATTGTTTATTTTCTGCATGTACTTACATCAAGTACATTACGATGTTTCGTGAGCATTCAATTATCAAAAAAAAATGTTTATCTGCACTTAAACCAGTTTTATGAACTAAAATCAAATAAAATCAAATAAAAAAAATTTATTAAAATTCATCATAATATAAAGTGGTCGACCGAGTTCGCTGCACACAATGCGAATAATGATAAAATCAACATATCAAATGAATGGCGAGCTGTACCATAAATAATTCAAATAAACCAGGAATCCAAAAGAGTTAACTAATCTGAATTTAAAAACTGATAAAACCACGTTAAAGCCTACTCTCCAGTGAATCCAGCACCCAAATACGTGTTATGATAAACGATTTATGTTATTATGGTACCAGATGAGGATTCCAAACCATTTTGGGTGATTAACCGAGTTCAAAAAAGGAGGAGTTTATATATTCGACTGTGATGTATTTTTTACTCGTTTGTTCAACAATTTTTCCTTGAAATATCAATAGTTTCACCAAATATATAAAATATTCTTATACGATATGTTAATATCAGCAAAACAACAAAAGATACTCGTAGCTACGTATTTTATATTTGTATACATTCAAGATCAGGAAGGAGGAATTTCTATGGTATGTTCGACTTCTTCGTGAATTTTGAACTAATTTTAATCAAACTAACAGTCTCCCAAAAAATATATAGGACACGTTACAAAGGAAGAAAAATGTCAAACAGTACACAAAAAGATGGCCAAGTTATTGCTATGGCACAATCTCTTACAGGCAACAAATGGTGACACAGAAAAAATAGATAAATAATAATGATGAAGGGGTGTAGATGCAATACTGACAGAAATATTAAATAGGATCGCAAAGTGCGAGCTTTCCTAAATGTTTCTGGTGACGAGTTACAGAGCCGAGCAATTTGAAAAAAAAGGGATTGGGATAAGAAGTCGGTATAAATACGACAAGAAATGGAAAAAAAATGTGCATTGGGAGCAACATCACCCGCCACAAGGCACCTCCTCCTGATGTTGTTGTTCCTTTTTTGATACGGAACCCTAAAAACGATAAACTTCAGTTACTTGATAAAGAAAGAAATTTATTTAAAAGTAATATTTCCATTTATAATTTATTATAAATTCCTTGATTTTATCTCTATGTTAAATAATTCGTTACAAATAAAAATCACATACAAAATCCATTACTATATACGTTGTTGGTAGTTGTACACATGTCCATAAACTGATTAAAATCTAATTCAATACGACAAATATAGAATGCTCTGCTGATCCTACAACGCCATCTGCAAACGATATCTGGGACTATGTGTTCAAATCTATGGAACCTACTTTTAATAAGTTCGTGAAACGCTCGTCCGCGTGCTGTGAGCAGACTTTCAAAATGCCCTCAGTATAGTAGACTTAGTATAGGCATTGTCACACAGAAGGCGCTATTAGATTTTTTTCTTAATATAAAGTAAATTATTTAAAAAATAATTTAAAGTATGCCATCACGTCATATACAGAATGTATCAGAAAGGTTCAGTGGAATTTTAGGAAGACATTATGAAACTGATGACTATCCTTTACACTATAGGTACTACACTAAAGCTTATTATCAAATTATTTTATTTTTGAATGGTTATACTTATTCATTGTCATCTATATTTTTCGATGCACAATACATTACTAATAAAATTATGGTCTACAAAGATAAAAATTTTGTTCAATTACTTCTTTTTATTAATAACTGGATTTTTATAAAGTGAGAAGTTCATCTAACCATGTGTGTCTGTATCTATTTATTAATTTTCGATTCATAAAATTTAAATCGTTATTCCAGCTGACATTTCATGTAGTGTTATACTGAAATTTTCCTCTTTTAATTTTGAAAAATGGATTTTCAAAATAATTCACAATATTATGAATAAGTACATTAAATGTATTGGAGCAGCAGACGGAAGTCTTGACCAATCTCGTCAAAAAGCCGTCGACTTCCTTCAAAAGACTGCAATCGCAAAATTGTGTTCACCTAAATTGACGCAATTGGATTTTTTTGGGATTAATGTTTAGTGTTTTGCATTTAACTAAAAATGCATTAACCTAAATTAGCATTAAGGCGTATAAGTTCGTAGTAGACACTAATTGGAGCAACATTTATCTCCTTGAAAATGTCTTAAGATATTTGGTGAGTAAATTAACTTCAATATAATAATGGAGTACAGCACGACGCTACTAGACGATACTAGAGCATGCAAAAGGTAGTATGTGAAATTATCTCAGAGATGCGAACAGTTCCTTTACATAAGTTGCGCCGGAATTAGGTTTTATGTGGCAAGTATCGTTGTTTTATTGGAAATATCCGATGTACTCTTTTTCAAATTTGAAATTTAAGAGATGCAGCAGATACAGCGCTTCTGATAATGATTTCTAGAGTTGAAATCACTTCAAATATGTATATAAGCAAAAGTGAATGTTCTATTAAAAATTTTCGAATCGAGAAATTAAACCCATGTGTTGCTCTGAAAAGACTTATTTTTTATACTTCAATACAAACAAAAGCTACTTTGGTGTGTATAACATACATGAAAAAAAAAAGAAAGAAACGGGATTCAACGTTTATTCTTCGATTCCTTTACTTTAATAATAATCTATAATGATAATTCACTTTTTGCACTATATTGAAAACCTAAAATCAAAACTTTTTCTTTGCCTCTACTTTATTATTCTCTCTCAGATAGCGCCATCTTTCAATCAATTAGAACAACAGTTCATAGACTCTTGTTTGCTGACATTAAAAAGTGCGCCAAAGTTTGAATATAGATATAAAAAAAATTGTTTGATTAAAAATGGTCTACAGCTTTCAGTTTCTTTAATACATATTTACCAATATTTTACGTATTGGGCACCGTTTTTGGAGCATTAAAAGTTGGTCGACCTGGGTGCTATTACCCTACAGGATCACTAAATATGCTAACATATGTTAATGTGCGTAACTTCATAAAGCGCATATATCATTTTTGAAATTCTGCCTATAAGTTTCTCTACATTGTGATTTCTAATAAATATTTGCATCGATTTCTATGCCTAAAAGTGTGCATTAATTTATTTCAATTAAAGGTTATATCAATCTCGAATGGAAGTTTTTGATATGGATGAGATTGCACGATTTTAGTTTTTACAACATTCGATTGGAGATTATGTTCTTCTACCCATTTTGCCACCATTGTCAAGCTTGTGTTAATATTTGCATGAGTTATTTTGAATTATTGCCTGATGCTATTTAAGTGATATCGTCAGCGTACAATATGCAAGGTCTATTCCAATATTCTGGCAAATATTTAATAAAAATTAGAAGAAGAAAACAACCTAAAACACTTCCCTGTGGTATACAGTGCTGTATTTTAATTTCTGCAAATTATTTATTCTGTGTATTTTTAACTTTGTCAAAATATTCCCACACCATATAATTTATTTAATAATATGTTGTGGTTCACCCTATCATATGCTTTGCTTAGATCTAACATAAGAGTGATAGCATATTTTTTACAGTCTACTATATCTTGAATTTTTCGATTTAAGTCAAAAAGAGCTGTAACTATAGATCTTTTGTTTCTAAATCCATTTTGACTAATATTATAAATTCATTTTTTTTTTCACAAAAAGAGTTATGACGCCTCATTATAGCTTCGAAAATCTTTGGAAACACCGGTAAGAGCGCAATAGGTAGGAATTCACTTAGATTATTCGGTGTTTTTATTTTTAGTACTGATTTTATTAAAACAGTTTTAAGTAAGTTAGGAAAAGTTGCTTCTAAAAATAATTGATTTATTAAATATATTAGCGGTATAACTAATTAATATTTACAGAACTTAACCAATTTTGTGGGTATTTCGTCGTTTCCACGATTAATTTTATTTTTAATTTTCTCAATAATCTTAAGAACTTCTTGAGGGGTAACTGGATGGAGGTACACATCGTACTGACGGTAGTACTAATTATTAGGAAACCATTTGGTTCATTTTAGTTCAGGTAATTTGAACTTATAGATAAAAAGTATTTATTTATTTCATTGAATTAGGATTTTCTGTAGGTTAAGTTTATTTTTAGTCGTTTCTTTTTATTTTTAGCTATTTTTTATTATTTCTTTCTTTTATTAACTGCCGCATAAATTTTGATGTATAAACTATTTTCTTTAATAGTTTTACATACTACTTATAATAGCTCTGAAATCTCTTATTTTTACATGAGGTATATGCGAAATAATTGTAATTGTAATAGACCTTTTCGTAACCAATGTTTAGTTTTTATTTAACATTAATATTTTTAATCGGTATACATAAATCTCGGTTTAAGGCTAGCTGATTATAAAAAGATTCATAATTTTGGTTGATATTCTTTTCTGTCCTTATTACTTCACTCCAGTCTACTTAATTTGAAACTGGCTTACTGTCAAACCTCGCTCATTACATATTAGCCAGTCATTAGACATTTTACCTGTACTATATATTTTCGTAATAGAGGGCCCTTTGAGATCCTTAAGTGGAGTTATGAGATCTGAGCTGATATCATCCAACAGAACTTTTATATAATTTTCCCATTCCGATCTTTGTTCATTATTTTCTTATTTTCTGTTAGTTTTTCAAAGTTCTTCTTTCTACCTGTGCCAGTAAACTCTTTTACTTGTTTGAACAGGTTGAAACTGTCATGCTTACAATTCAATTCTTACGTAAATAATTATATTTTTCAATATTTGTATGTAAATTTTGCCTTCGTTCACTCATTACATTAAAATTTCTTGCGATATCCATGGTTTTTTTAGCTTCCTTTTTTTTCAAATCCCTATAATTCCTAGCGTACATCCAATGCTGTTGTTTTGAAATTTTGCCATAGGTTCTTGGCAGTTAAATCATTTAATTCCTTATTTGCGTAGCTTTCCTTTTATTTATTATTATACACAGCTTTAGTCATCATTTTAATATTTTCACTTTTAAGTTTTTTATTGCTATTTTTCTGTGTTGATTTAAAAACCTTTCTTTGGTATTCTAAATTTTAAATTGAAGTTAGCGAGATCTGGATTATGGTCTGAACCAACATTAGTACCGAGATAAGTCTTCACGTTATGAATTGAGTTACGAAACCGAGAAGGTTGGTACCATGTCCGTTATCGAATAGACTACATACTGGTAGTCTAATTGATCGAGGACTACATCATGTGGAGAATGCTTGGGCGAAGTTCAGGTGTAAAATCTTTTTGGCGGTTGTTGAAACCACGTATTTGCAAGTCATGCTCTGAACATGATTGTATCATCCTGTCTCCAGTCCCGTTTCTACATCCTAAACCATAATTCCCCACACAACTTCATCTTCCCAGTTTTATAATTCCAGTCTCCCATCACTATGCCACTGCCACAACCCATGCCACTATGGGTTGGCATAGTTTTATTGTCACTGAGCCAAATATCGCTCCTACAACTATGGGGTATCTCATCTTTCACACTGCACAATTATTATGCTATGATGTAAGTATAGTAGTCAATAGCTGATACTAAAGTATTTACGTGCAAAAAAGGCGAAACTAGAGACATAATCATTTATTTTATATTCGTTCTGTACATGCGACCCCGCCGATGACCCGGCAAGCGCGAGGTGAGCGCTAGTTACAGGTGGTGTGTGTGTGTGTGTGTGTGTGTTAGCGTCGTCGCGGGCGCGCGCGAGCAGTGTCATTATCGCAGGTGACGGAATCGGGCGCATCGCGGCGCGGCCCGCGCCCGCCGGCCGCCGCTATCACCCGCCGCGCGTTATCACTGAGAGATTAGATACCGGCCCGCGACCGCGCGTACCCAACGCACCGCTCTCCGCGTGCCAAAACAACGGACACCGCCCCACCGGGACCACCGGACACAGCCAGAAGCCAACGAAACACATCGAACCCTAATATGAGGAGCAAGGATCGCTTAGCGGAACTTCAGCGAGTGAGTACCCACCCTATACACTGTGATACACCGCTAATATAAACGTGAGATAACTAAAATTATGCCCTCGTGCTTATTAACACGGATAAAAGATGAAAATCATGTATCAGCTACTTCGATAATTTCATGTGCCAAGGCAGTGTGTTCGCTCGTGTCAATATTTGTGAGATTGACGTGGATCTCATATATCTTTGAGTAATAAATTATCATCTATATTCTAAGGTCGATTGTTGTGATATTTTTTATTGTAAGATCTGTATAGTGGTTAAACACTGTTAAAATTTTTGATTTAAGTTTTCTGTGAGGCGAGATCGACGACCCTCACCTCTAAACATTGAAAATTCTGCTCGATTGACTTCAACGCGTTAAAAAACTAATTATTCAGGTTACGGTTAAGAGGATCGACGTAGCAGATATAAATTGTATTATGCACTGTAATGTACAGTGCATTCAACTGTTATTGAAACTTGAAGCACCGAGTGTATCGCGTATGTGCACGAGCAGATTGTCATAATCCAGGTCGCGGCAGAATAAGACGAGCCATCATATTAAACGACATTCGTCCCACTGCGTTACGAGTACGTGAGGAATTCATGCTCAGAACGTAATGTTTTTTATGCGTACATACATACATACTATATTCAATCAGATAGAACTGGTAGCAACTGTCGTAATATTTTAAATTCCGATGAATATCTGTGTTAATATGAAGCGTAACTTTTAAATTAATAAGTAAATTACTTTATTTATTAATTTAAAAGTTAATAAATATAAGTAAATTATAAATAAGTTTTATACTGAGATAATTTGCAGAATTTCTCAAATATTACTTGTATTAGACAAAAAAAAATGCTAATTCAGTAAACTCCGTTGTAATAACCAGTAAAAAAATAAAATTGTATCAAAATTATTCCACCTAATAAAATAGGTGAGTTTTATAATATTTGTGATATCTCTGTACATAATATCATGAATATGATTTAAATACGATTTTATCAACTGTATATTTGTTATGCAGGTAGCGGGATGGGGCGAGACGGAGGTACTGCTGGAACCATCACCACCCGACCCTGACGTGGAGGCCATGTTTCAGGAAGTACGTCAATTCAATTCAATTCTTCATTGCAATCATGTTGGTAATATAAGATATTGTACACACGCACAACACCATAACATGAGCCCTGTCAGGGCGCAGCAACATTGTACAATAGACATTTAAGTGCACATAACACATTTACTTCAACTATTTACACTAAGTATAATAGTTACTAGATTTCATGCCAATGAGGAAGTATTTAAGAAAAAAACAGAAAGCACTAAAAAGCACCTCCACTAGATGGCGACTCTAGTAAAAGTTGATTTTTACAGGAATCGATTGGCCCAAAGATAGTCATTTCCGATCCTTTTAACTAACATATTAAATGAAATATGCAAAATAATAAACTTAGATATCAATACAAATACGAAAAAGTACAAATAGAATATGAGTTGTTTATTGAGTTTTGAAATCTAATATACGTTTATACATGAAAGAAAACCGGAAGGGTTGTCATGGAGAAATCAAGAAAGTACTGTAGTGTCATCTAGTTTGATTTCAGGAACTATTGTTTTTATTATATAACTACATTACAATAAACTTTAAATCAACAATAATACAAATCAAATAATAAATGTCGAATCATGCTAAAAATAATGTCCCAAGATTATTTATTACATTCTAACTGTAAAATTTAAAATTTCATGACAATTTTAATTATAATACATATATTATAACAATTTGTCATTAAAATGTTCTTGGATATTATGATAGGATTTTTTAACAGAATTTGTTTCAATTTCGTTACAAATTGTTTTATATTATTTTCGTCTTTTAAACAATGAGGTAATTTATTGAAAATTACTTATGCACTTTTTATTTTGAGGAAAACATTCTGTATGTCGATGCCCCGATTACCCCAGAGTAAGATTCATACAGACGTACCTAATAGGTAGCCATTGCCGAGTTGAAATTATAGATCATTCTTATTTCCCTTAAAGCGTAAAGAAAAGAAGAAAATTTTGTTTTAATTATTTGTAAGTGATCCTTCCAGTTTACATTGCTCTATCTATATTTAACCCAAGAAGCTTAAAAGTATTAACGCAATCTGATAGATTATTTTTGTATACATCTTAGCTTGTATTTCATGATTTCAATCCAAATTGCATGATTTCACTTTTATTAAAATTTATTTCTAAATTGTAATTCATCGTCCGTTCCGAAATAATATTTAAAATATTAGTAAAATTTTGATGCAAATTTTTATCGTTGGAACACGAAGTCAAAATAGATACGTCATCTGCAAACTATATACAAGAGTCACTTAAAAAGATTTTGGGGAAGTCGTTAATATAAATTAGAAACAAAATTCATCCGAGCACACCGCCTTGTTGAATGGAGTAACTTACAGTCTGTGTCATTCTACATGAGATTTTTAGTTTGGTAATGCAAAGCTGAATCGAGTGATACGTGTCGTTGCCGTCAATAAAAAAAAGGATAACTACCTCGATAACTGAAGTTATATTATATTATTATTTACAATCACTATATTTGTTTTAACTAAACGTATAGTTTATTTGGTCCAATAACAGTTAAAAGTCCGAGCATTAATCATCACTAAATGCTTCCGCGCAATGAATGATGCTGCGCGAGTATCGTTCTAATTAAAGTCATTAAAACAGATGTAGTGTTGATGAGAACTGTTGGGACCGAACCACCCCCCCCCCCCCTCATAACACGCGCCTCACAATCGTTATCTAGTACTTTTATGTTTTTAATTCTGCGGTTTTATATCCTGAGTGATCCGTGTTCTAAAGATGGGTTATTCTCATTTTTCCACATAGCGCTTTTTTTGCTCAGCCATAGCTACAAAAAAAGCAATATTTTTGTGAATAATATATTTGAAATAGAACTATATGTAGGTACCTACTAGGAAATGAGATGACTAGTTGAGTAAATCGGCTAGTTGCCATCGATTCGTTTGCGATTAGTGAATAGATATTCAGCAAAATGACAGAAGTCTCTGATGAAAAGTGGTTTTAATAAATCTAAATCAAACATGTGGATGTCAACCATATTGCCAACAATAATTAATATTAAAATAAAGCAAAATCTGAACGAGAAAATGCAGCTCGCTACACACGCACACACACACCATCCGGTGCTGAAGCCGACGCTACTGTATCGGAACGAGACTTAATTAATACGAGAGAATAATGCGACTGGAATAAATAAATGCAGTCGAGATGCGTTCGTTACATAGAATCGCATTCGTAATCGACAGATAAGAATAAGCATTGACCTGAAAGATAATGTCGGCGTAAAAGTCACCTGAATCATGCTCCGTTGGTTCGGCGTGTAGATGATGGATATAATGCAGGATGAAAGTAAGACAAAACTGATATATATATATACGTGCTCCTCCTTATTTCATATTATTTAGTTTGTTTATTTATTTACTTAGGTATCCTCTGAAAATCAGAACGGCGCTGAACGGAAACTTTCTTAGTACATAATTTTGAATGATCTTATGTTATGTACTTGTAATTTGGTGCTGAATAAATACTTTTCTATTCTATTCCAATCCATATACAACGACAGAAGGATAAAAAACCGCGGAAGGTGGACACATCTTTCGCGATCAAAGCGATTATGTATGAAGCGTGCCTCGCGGCGCTCAATCCTCCCTTCATACCCCGCGGGGGATATGGGGCGTGAACATACAGATAGTTATGTAAATATTAAACAGCAAGTTTTAGTATTGTTATTATGAAAATCTGAAATAACAAAGGTGTCACGATACTCATATCCGAGAAAATGTAGAAAAGTTCATTTTATTGTCCCGATTGGTAACCGAATTTAGGATCTCAGAGATAGCGACCTTGAAACCGGCGTTCTAACCACTCGGCCACGACGGTCGTATAAACCCATAAAACATTGCTTTAATTCGTTATGTCACACTTTATTTTCTTAGTTATTAATATTAGTCGAAGACTTATAAAACTCTGGCTGAGTTTCTCAAACTATATAATAGTCATATAATTACATTATTTTCATTTTATAAAACGTGAAAATAAAATGGAATTATTTATCTAGTGAGTGACTAAGTACTTTACGCAACTTATTGATAACTATAATATATGCATATTTATGCGTGAATACCGACTCTACTAGCAACATGTAAAACTAATGTATATCTGTGTTAAAACGTCCAATTTATTATTCACTCGGCATTACTTCACTGACCTATGAATTAAAAGTCATGCAACTACAGTACAATATAGTCATCTGTCTTAACACTATAGTGAGTAACTAAAGTAATCGGTCAAAGGTCATTAATATTGGTTTGAGTGAACCGCTCCGCCGCATTTCCAAATACATCAATATAACAGTCAAACAAGTAAAACGTTTATGCCGTGTTGTTTAGTGTTTTCATTATGATTTCAATTAGTTTTAACAATGAGTCATTTGACATATAAATAACACACATGAAGGATGTGTACTTGCACTCGCTATATGTGTCAAGAAGTATACATTTGTAATGCGTGGCAATGATATACCCGACTCTCCCGTTCCCGTATCACCATCCATGAAAAACGACTCTAAGAATGATCAATTACAAAAATCTCTAAAAAGACTAAGTTATCGAATTCGAATTGGATGCATATTTACAGGTAGACAAAATGAGGAATTGGATCCACGAGTTGAACGGCAACACGCAGCTGGTGCGCCGCCTGCATGTAGACCCAACGTTTCACACAAACAAACGTACGTATCACCGCCACACGCTGCCGATGGCGCCACCGCCGGATAACCTTACCAACAACACTATACTATTATTTGTAAGAATAAATTACAACTGTCTGTCCATCAAAATAATATCTACCTTTATTTAATACATAAGTATTACTGGTCAAATGTCAATGTTAGGACACAAATAATTAATTATATAAGTGCGAATGACCTACAGCGAACACAAAGTATGGTGGCACAATAATAATTTATCATTGCCTCCATTCATAGTCATAAAATTTAGTGGAATCATATAAATACCTACTAAACTTTCTTTTGAATCACCCTATCTATGAAAAAAAACCGCATCAAAATCCATTGCGTAGTATTAAAGATTTAAGCATACATAGGGACAGAGAAAGCGACTTTGTTTTATACTATGTAGTGATAAAATTTCAAAATATAAAGTCATAGTAAACTGCGCCCATACATTTGATCAGTGGGGGCAAAATCGAACGTTACCGCAATCACCATTCCTCATTATACGCCTCATGACATTGAAAATTTAATAATCCTGTTATGTCACAGAGCTGCAAGACCAACTAGACTCCTTGGTGACGCAGTCGCATGCGACGGCGATGAAGGTGTGCGGTGCGCTGCGGCAGTTCGAGACGCGCGCACGCGTGCACCGCGGGGACGTGCGCACGCGCATGGCGCGCCTGCAGTACGCCGCCACGCGACGCCTCTACTCCGACGCTCTCAACGCCCACCACAGCGCGCTCAACGCGCTCAGGGACAACCGCCTCCATCTGCTGCACGAGCAAATCAAACTCAGTCAGTATTATATTAAGGTATATGTCCTTACAGCGACTATAGTTTCGAATGTTCTATGGAAAATATACCCTTAAAATCTAGCTTTTATTCCAATCAAGTGTAAACCGACTGTGTTCACGCTGTCACATCACTATAGCGAGGAGCGCGGTGAAGGGACGGACGGACGGTGCATAGTTGGCGCGAGCGGTGTTGCCAACTAGAGTTGATCCTATTTTCATAAGGTTAGCAGTGAAATGTGACGTTTTGCATCTAGTACTTATTAGTTTTATTCTGATTACACCACCGACACAAAACACACTTGTTGGCGGTAACACTACGCATTTCTATTAGAGATGTAACATATCCGGTGGCTATCCCGCCGTATACTCATTATTTTGCAAATGTCAATTTATACCGCAGTGGGATATGAACACCGTTTGTTTATATAATTGCACGTTAAAATGTCTTTTAATTTAAAGAAAAAAAAAATGTCTGTAATTAAATTCGTTCTCAAAATAATCACATATTGAATGAATACCAAATTTTCCGCATCCGTTAGTAAACAAAGACAAAAACCGCAACCACTTGATAATGAAGTTATACAGATGATTGTCCTGTGGTTGCAACAGTAGTGTAGGCCGCCCGCGCGGGTCGACGGCCGGCCTAGATGCGCGCGCGCCGGTTAACGCCCACAGCCCTCCGCGCCGCTACCGCTACTGACGCACTCGCTCACGCCATCCATAACACCACTGCCAGGGTTACAATATATGCCTACCTGATATCACATATTATACTTAATGAAATTGTCAATTCTTAATTAAAAATCGAAAAATCTATTTCCATACCGTTAGGTAGCGGTATACATATAGTATCGATACTATTTAAAATTATCGATGTACCAACCAATCGAAACAGTATATCTAATTATCTATCAACAGTCAGTAGTAGTAAAGTGAGACACTATCGAAGAATAGTTGACTATCTGTTGAGAATCGGCAACTGGGCGGACCTTTTATTATTATATCTATGTATATTTTGATAGTTGTTTTATATATTTTTGAAGTTTATTTGATTATTGTTTTTATATTGACACTTTATATATAATGATACCTGCCTTTGAGGAGGGCCTATCTTTGTGGAAATTATAAGTTTTTGTGAAGATAAACTATTTGTTTTTTAGACTTTAGCAAAAAACAAACCTTAACAATACTATTATTGCACACCCGCTATCTTTCTCGTTCTAACAAATGCCGTTTTTGAACGACATAAAAGGACAGATTGACGGAAAAAGGCTATAAATGGGCTGCCAGCTGTAGCTCGACCATTACACGTTTTTGGCAATAAATACTAGTGATAGTATTGTCACAATAATATCACCACAGTATCGCATATCAATATACTACCGCTTTCTTAACAACGCTGACTTTAACTCACTCGAAACATAACCCTATATTTTAATTAACTGTCCGAGCAATTAAAGTTTGTTTTTTGAATCAGTATGCACTTAGCTTCGTAACTTACAATTCAGTCTACAACATAAAAAAATAATATATTTTTTCATCAAATCTTTAAATACGTCAACAAGTCATATAAACCAAAGTTCAATGCAAAATGATTCATCAAATTTTGTAACACATCAACAAATCTCAGCGATTTTGGAGTTCATGAAATACGATAATCATAAAATTTTATATTATTTATCTTGCACAAAGAATATGACGATTGAAATGCATATATAACCTCTAAGAAGTAGCAACCCTAGAAACAGCAATCACGCGTCTGAAATGTCGGACGCTAACCAGCAAACCGCAGCTTTGTTAGCGCCTCGAATCCAGATCATTTTGCACTTCCTTGAGAGTATATAGTATTACAAGTGAATAACCGAACTAATAAAGGTCATGGTTTCCTTAGATTCACAGTTTAACTATAGCTAATCTTTGATTTTCAGCAAATCTGACGATTTCTGACGAGGAATGCCAAAGTCTTCTCGACTCGAAGAATATTTCACTATTTGTCGATAACGTGAGTATTCGTTAAGTTGTCTATAATTAAACCTAAACATTGTACAGCAATGTTCCCTTCTAGTCCCACTATAAACTTCAACGAAAAATGATAATGCCCACACTATATTTTTATTCTTATATTTTAAAATTTGGTGAAATCTAAAATACTGACATTAATTTTCTACCATGTCAAATGTTACTAAATGTTACTATATGCTAAGCACATTGTCTACTAACGATAGAATAATAGATATTAATAAAGGTTAAGTAGAAAATTAGACACCCATTGGAACTCTTATTTGATTCTTTATTTGTTTGAATTTAGTAAAGGAACTGTTTTTCCGATGAACAGTTAAAAGCAGAGACGGCAGAAGCGAGACGAGCTTTGCGAGAAGTGGAGGCGAGACACGAGGAGCTGGCACGTCTTGAGGCCTCGCTTCAGGAAGTGAGAGACCTATTCCAGCAGCTCGCACATCTCGTCACGCTACAGGTACTACATCATTCTATTTAAAATTACCTGATTTTAAAATTTATTAGTTCGTCCGATTGATTGCTTCAAATTCGAATTATTTATTCACAGGACATACAGTATATGTATTAACTTTTTTTACAAATAATTCCGGATCGTCTATTTTGCCGATTAGGGCATGTGAATGTTAAATTAAATATTCATGAAATTAAATTAATAAAAATGCCAACTACATAATTTTACTCGTAGTTTAGTTCATAGTCAATAAAATGATAGTAGATATGTCAATCTTAGAGTTTAGATATTCCTTAACTGAGAGACTTTAATTTTAAGCCAGTTAGAGAATTATATTCAAATTAAGTTTAGTCAACAAATGGGGTAATTTATTATAAATTATAATACAACTTGGATAGTTTCTTTTAAATGATACGGAGTGCATTGCGTCTTGGGCAACAACAGCTTTTAGGATATCTGATACTGCTAGTAGAATACTACGAGTCCATGTATTTACGTGGAAACAGATACGGGTGAGTTTTAACAAAGACGCAACACTCTAAAATATATACATTTAATATCACAAATTTAGTCTAGGTTGTTTACAAGCACTTGTCAAAAAGTCTAAAGCTATGCCTTACGGCCGCAAGTCTACGGCGGGAGAGAAATAAGTTAAAGTGAGTACAGTGATAGAAGTTATCTAGTAAGTTCAGTTTCGGAAATACGTGGAAGTTTCGGGAAAAAATTAAAAAGAAATACCATTAGTAAATACCAGTTGCCCCCGACTAGAGACCCATCTGATTAGGAGGACCTACAAATCCCTTATTGTGGACCCCCCCCCCCCCGTACGATCACGACTACCACCGGAGTACGACCCGACCACAGCCCAGAAAAGGGCGCTATCAGGCCTCATCAACCGGCTCCGCCGCTCCTCTCTGTGTGGCCCCGATAATGGTACCGCTCGGCCCGGCTACCACACTCACCAAACGGTGTGCATGGTGCCGGATCCCAAAACTAGGGCCACAGAGGAAGTCCCCTCACCTGCATACGCAGGCCGACTCCCCATGTACCTCTTACTAGCAACGACACAGGGGCACCCGGCAGACGTAACCCTGCCAGGGAACCAGTCAACTGCTAGCCGCCATTACCTAAGGGAGGTCATCAGCCGGTCCGCACAAGTACCACGGGGCACAGAACCATTGGTCACCTAATTGGTTATTCATTTTTGTAAATAAAAAGAAGTCAGTGACCGTGACAGGCAGGGACTGTGTGCCGGATGACTCATAAGTTTGGATGGTTTTAAGTTTTTCGCCTTTAAAAACACCATTTGTTTTTCTGGCTGTGTTTAAGATGGTATGGCGTTTACAGTCATTTTCACAGAGAGTGTCAATAAAACGGGCAAAAAGGGAAGCAATCATCCGCTTCGAAGCACTTTTCACGCTCTCTTAGGTTGGTTTAGGCTCATCTCGAAAGACTCATATATATACTTGACTAGCTTTCGCTTGGTTGCCCCGGGCTGCGAGCAGCCCGGGGAGGTAACGAGTAGCTAGTGGAATCGGGGCGGTGGGGTTTCAAGTCCGCCTATTGTTATGTCGGGTTTACAGTTTGAAATTGCGTAGAAAAGGTCAGTAAGTTCTATCTTCAAATAAAAGGTGTTAAAGGACACAAAGCACCATACACCAAAGAAAAAGTGTTGCCAGTTGACACTTAATAGAAAAAGAAATATTCAGTCGAAAAACGCAAGCAAAATTTAAAATAAATTTTGTATAGATACTTAAAATAAGTTTTGTCTTTTATTCTCTTATTCTTATTTATTAGTAAATTACTGTATAATATTAAAAAACAATCGAACATATATTTCCATCAGTGTTACTATCATTTAAATGTCAAGAAATAGTATTTATTGTATTTGCATTATTACATTACATTATTTATGTAAGATTTATTTGTTATATGAAAAGGGAACCGATGTCGTGACCAGATATTAGAATAGATCAATTCACGACGCGATGGGGTTTTAAGTCCGTCTTCGTTTCAGAATGGAAGCTTTCGCTTGGTTGCCCCGGGCTGCTCGCAGCCCGGGGAGGTCACGAGTAGCTAGTGGAATCGGAGCGGTGGGGTTTTAAGTCCGCCTCCGTTGCAGAATTTGAGTATTTCGATTTTTTTGTTATGTTTGTTTTATAGATTGAAATCGCCTACAAAAAGTTTGTAAGTTCTGTCTTCAAACGAAAGGTGTTTAGGCACCATACATCAAAGAAAAAGGGTTGCCAGTTTACGCTGAACAGAAAAAGAATAATCAGTCGAAAAACGCAAGCAAAACTCTAAATAAATTATAGTCTCTTATTCTTATTCAATAGTAAGTTTACATTTAGTGTGAAAAAGGATCGAGTAGATATTTCCCCCAGTGTTACCTTAAATAATACACCAAATAAATAAATGTCAAATTTCAAACTCATACCTACGTAGAACACTTTCATTTTGAATATCAAAAGAACATGTTTTCTCAATAATCTAAAAGTATAGAAAAATATATTTTAAGTATTAAATATCGTGTCAAAAATTGGATTTTCTTTTCTCCATACTTACTTATATGAAAGTGTGGGTAAAGATACACAAATATACAAATGGTCCATATATACACGCTATAAAGATTCCGAATTATCAAGTCCATCGAAATCAAAATTGAAATTAAAATGGTCACGATCATCTTTTAAACCTTATAAACCAAATGTTACCATCAACAAAAGCGATTCGTTTCTGGCACTTCGCCGGCCGCTACCGCGGCACGCTCGCTACGCTCGCTCGGCTCGTGCGTTGTTTTTCATACACTAACCTAACCTAACCCATATGTCATAATAAACCTATACAAGTTTTTGTTGCTTTACTTATTGTAAAGTTCTTGAGCGTAAACGAGTCACTTGTGGAATTGTTATGGTTACAGTTTGAAATTGCCTAGAAAAAGTTAGTGAGTTCTATCTTCAAATGAATTATGTTTAATTACACAAAGCTCCATACGTCAAAGAAAAAGGGTTGCCAGTTTACACTAAATAGAAAAAGAAACATTCAGTTTAAAAACGCAAGCAAAACTAAAATAAAATTTGAAATAGATCGGCTTGTAGTCATTTATTCTCTTATTCTTATTCAAAAGTAAGTTAATATTTAGTGAATACAGACATTGGAGTTTTAAGACCGCCTCTTGTTATGTTGGGTTTACAGTATAAAATTGCCTAGAAAAAGTTAGTAAGTTCTATCTTCAAATAAAAGATCTTTAATTACGCAAAACATCATACATAAAAAAAAAGATTTCCAATTTACACGCAACATAAAAAGAAATATTCAGTTGAAAAACGTAAGAAAACTTAAAATAAAGGTTGTATACATCGCCTTGTAGTCGTTTATTCTTATTCAATAGAAAATTTCCTAAAAATCACAATATCAAAAAAAAAAAACTGTTTTTATCATCCGGCAATACTTCAACTGAATACATTTTTTTTCATTACAATGTTATCAATAACGCCAAAATCTGCTCTATAAAGTAAAAACCGTGAAAAATAACCGTGATACATTTTCTAGCACACTTATAAGCACATTTGGTCACAGTTCCTTAACCGATTGACCAGGTCTCCATTTATTATGGCTCGCTTCGCTCGCTTTTTCTTTTTGTTTTTTTCGCAGATCTAATCTAACCGATTGACCAGGTCTCTATTGATGGTGTCCTTTATGGCTCGCTTCGCTCGCATTTTATTTTAGTCATAGTTCTAACCCTACCAACTAACCATATCTCTCTTAACAGTTACTCCTTATGGCTCGCTTCGCTCGCTTTTTGTTTTAGACACGTTACTAACATAATCGATGGTCTCTCTTAATGGTCTAGCATTATGGCTCGCTTCGCTCGCTCTTTATTTTGGTCACAGCACTTTAAGCAATTGACCAGGTCTCCATTTTTGATGGCTCGCTTCGCTCGCTTTTTGTTTTAGACACGTTGCTAACATAATCGATTGATCAGGTCTCTCTTAATGGTCTAGTATTATGGCTCGCTTCGCTCGCTCTTTATTTTGGTCACAGCACTTTAAGCAATTGACCAGGTCTCCATTTTTTATGGCTCGCTTCGCTCGCTTTTTGTTTTATTGACAGTTCTAATCTAACTGATTGACCAGGCCTCTATTGATGGTGTTCTTTATGGCTCGCTTCGCTCGCATTTTATTTTAGTCACAGATTTAACCTTGCCAATTAACCAAATCTCTCTTAATAGTTAACCTTTATGGCTCGCTTCGCTCGCTTTTTGTTTGAGTCACAGTGCTAACATAACCGATTGATCAGATTTCTATTGGTGGTGTTCTTTATGGCTCGCTTCGCTCGCATTTTATTTTAGTCACAATTCTTACCTTACCAATTAATCAAATCTCTCTAATTGGTCACTTTTTATGGCTCGCTTCGCTCGCTTTTTGTTTTAGTCGCAGTTTTAATCTAACCGAATGACAATTTCTCGCTCACTTTATTTTTCTGGTGAAAATATTGGATTTTTTTTTTCTCACCACGTAAAGATTGAGTAAAGATACAGAAACGGTTTATATATGCAAAGCTTCCGAGTCACCAACTCAGTCAGAATCATTTTGAAATTAATATGGTGACTACTATCAGTGTTGCTAGAACTCAAATTATTCCATCAATTATGTTATAAATGCAACAGTAAAAATTTTATTAAACAGTAAAATCATTGTAAAAAAATATTTTAATATTTTTCATCAATGACATACATGAAAATTTCTCAAAAATCTCGGTATCAAAAATTTTACCGTTTTTTTTTCATCTGGCAACACTTCAGCTGAATACATATTTTTTGTTAAAAGTATTCTTAAAAATATTACCAAAAACGCCAAAATCAGCTCTATAAAGTGAAAGTCATGAAAAATGATCAATTTTCTAGATAAAATGGTCGCTGTTTAAGCCGCCATCTTGAATTTTGAAATTTCAACCTCGAACCTATGTAGCCCACCTATTGGCACATCCAATGCAGTTTCTATTAT